TGTACTGACAGTCCTTAATAGGGATTACAATAGGGGGTACTGTAACCCTTCTTAAGGACTTACTACAAGTGGGAACATCCCAAATTCTTACTTCTCCAATAACCACGGGGAAAAAAAGGTGAAACTTTATTGTTCCTACTAAATAAGGAAACCCAAAAAGTTTAAAGTTCAACTATTGGCTAAGTCAGAATTATGTTTGTACGGGATGCATAGGGTGATTGAGAAAATATATTCGGGTCCAGGCAACTCCAAGTCGCTCCAGCAAGCCGCAGCCCTGAACGCCAAAGCCTGAGACCCCTAAACCAACCCTAAACCCTAAACCCTAAACCCTAAACCCTAAACCCTAAACCCTTGCTGTTGGGCCACAGTCCCTCTCTGCCGGTGCTTCGAACTCGAAGCCGGATAGACGCGGCGTGACATCCTTCTTTGCACACTTTTAGGGTTTAGGGTTTAGGGTTTGGGGTTTGGGGTTTAGGGTTTAGGGCTAGGAGGCCGACAGTTCAAGTTCCTCCAACGCTGAAAGGGCTCTAAATATCATAAACTTGGAAACCACTGAAACCCCCCACCCCCCCTCTAAATATCCGAAACATGGAAAGACCGACCGAAACCCCCCAACCCCCCCGCCAACCTTAAACCACCCCCCCCCTCCCCCGCCCAACAAAAAAGAACTTAAATGGCGGTTTTCTCGTGACGCTCGCAGACCTATCTGGCAGCGTCGCCCGCACATGACACTGAAAGCTGAAGACCCCCAGACCCCTAAACCGTTAAACCCCTGAGCACAAATCGATTCGAAACCCCTAAACCCCCCAAACCCCAAATCCCGATGAACCCCTAAATCTCGAAAAAAACCCATAAACCCCCTATGCCCTATGATATGCCCTATACCCTACAACCCTAAACCCCGACACGGGAGCCTGTGAATACTTACCAAGTTTACGCATACACCCCCCCCCCACAAATCCACTCTATTCCACTCTACTTCAACATGGGTCGTATACATGTCATACCGCAGTTCACAAGTACGGATTTCTGCTGATGGGCTTTTGCTATACAGACGCGGGTGCTCAGAAGTCCAAGACCAAACAGCAAGTCCCTCAACCTCCCCTGCGCCGTGTGGGATACTCTGCTTTGGCCTTGTGAGTTGCTTAGGGTTTAGGGTTTAGGGTTTAGGGTTTAGGGCTTAGGGTTTGGAGAGCGTTTGTGTTGTTTTGTGATTGGCCTCAATGCACTCCTGTAACTGCTACGGAAGTCGATGTCATAAGTTTAGTGTCGCGTGTAGGGTTTAGGGTTTAGGGCTTAAGGTTTAGGGTTTTAGTGTGCTCGATGTGTTGTCGCCAGGCTACGTTCGCCGAGGCCACCTCGTTCATGCGGCTCCATATGTCCTCAGCTGATCCCCCAGACCACAAGTAAAGCCCCAAACCCTAAACCCTAAAACGTGACCGAACCCCCAAACAACATCTGACAACAAGAAGGGCACGGGGGCAGAGAGCAAAAACTCTGAAGAGCTCTTTGGGTGGTACGTTGAAAAGCAGATCAACAAAACATTGAGTTCCAAGTGGGCCCCTGCTTGGCGCCTGGAAGATGTGCGTCGAGGTTTCGGCAACCGAGCCGTCTTAAGCATTCTGGATGTAGGAGTGTATTTAGAGCTGAGAGGAGGGGCTGGGGGGGTGAGGTTTGAGGCTGAAGATACGAGGGTTTAGGATAATCAGGGACCCCTAATAAGAAAGGCCACCAAATAGTAGGATGCTCTTATAACAAGGACCCCAAAAAATCACTTGCAGGTTCATGGTACTTATCAACCAATTAGAACTGCACGTATACCGCATTTATAAGCCCCTTAAGTGCCCTGATATGGATAGAAGTACTGATATAAGTACAGTCAGAATTGGTTAATGAGTACCATGAACCTCCAAGCAATAAGCTACCCCTCATTTCGGAAACCCTAAACCCTAAACCCTAAACCCGAAACCCTAAACCCTAAACCCCAATACGGCCTCCCTAATATCGTAAACCCCGCATATGAGGTTTGGATATGGCACCTGGGCCTGGCACACCTCGGCCCGGCGTTCTTAGGTTCATGCGACGTTTAGGGTTTAGGGTTTAGGGTTTAGGGTTTAGGGTTTAGGGCTAAACCCTAACGGCGCACTTTGCAACCGCACTTCAGCTGATCGCGGTTGGAAAACTAGACCCCTGGAAGGATCTACGAAGGTGAACCCCCAACTTGTACCCTACACGGCTATTGCTTGAATTTTTGGGAACCCTACTTTTTGGATCCTTCCAGGGGTCTGGGAACTAGATTAACCACATCATGTACATCGCAAAGCTGAATGCCACCCTTCACGTTTGTGAAGAGGGCTCTGCTGGCATTATCAACGGGCACCTTAGGTGTCCCTCTCTCACCTCTCTTGTTTCTGAGGCCACTCCCTTCCTTCTGCGAAGAAAACACAAAGCCTCCACCAAATTTCAGCTCCACAAAGCTTCCCAGCTCAGAGCTGGCGGCTCAGCGTGTAGACTTGATGCGCCGAACTGGTAGCTCTTCCAAGTTCTGGTGTGTGGTAAGCTGGTGCAGGGCCACGGGCGACCTTCCGAGTCCGTAGGGCGGCAGCTTGCTGAAGGACGAGTTGCGATTCTTTGCCTCCCCATAAACGGCCCTGAAAAGGTCCGCCCTCGGTAAGGGCCTGTCAAGGGATCTTTCCGTGGCCTTGCTTTGTACCATCAACCCGTCTGTCCCCAAAGGCCCCAAAGCTCGCTTCAGCCGATTCTCCATTTCGATCATCCCACGCTCGACCTTTGCCACGACGCCATCCAGAAGTCTGATGAGCTCCCTGTCTGCAGGCGCCCGGTGCTCATTCTGCCCCCATATTCGGGGGGATCCGTCAGCGCATGCAGCAGGGTCAGACATCATCTTGGGCGTAACGCAGCTGGTCGGCTGCTCAATCCCCTTTCCGTCTGCCTTCGCTGACCTCGTTGACCGGCTAGACTCGTCGGAAGACTGCCTTGGCATGAAGGATGAAGGCGAGGAAAGCCGTGGTAAGCCCACGTCGTGCGCAGTCCAGCCGGCTGAGGCGCACTGCACGTCGGCGGACAGTGTGTCCATGCGTTGCGACAAGTCTCGGAAGTAGGTCTGCGACAGGGTGTAGAGGTCCTCCTGCAGCTGCATCGTCTGCAGCATGTTGTACTTGATGAACCTGGCTCCAATTTAGGGTTTAGGGTTTAGGGTTTAGGGTTTACAGCTGGCGGGGATCACAGGGATCAGGTCCTTTGACCCGAACAGCCTCAAGACAACTAAATCCCACCTAGCTCAGATGATGTGGGCCGGCTCTCAAAATCACCAGCCCCTGGGTAGCTGGAATCTGAAGCTTCGTATTTTCACAGAAGCTCCACAAGGGCCCCTTACGATTCAGGAACCGGTGTCTAGGGACGAGTTGCAGTGATATGGACATGCGGGACAGCCTGGACAGCTATTCGGAGACCCTGACACGTGGCACCCCCCGATCTCGGCACGTCATCTGATGGGTTGGTGCCCGGGTCCTTCCCATCTGTCTAGCCACTAGTCCTTTTCTTGACTCCCGCTCTTCTCCGTTCCTCCACCCTTTGAAGAAGAGGAAGCTAGGATGGGAGGGAATAAGGAAAAAAAAAAAAAAAAACAAAAGGGAAGCAACTCATCTTTTTGACATCTCGTTCTCTGTCTCTTCCTCATATCTTACCTCCATTCTTTGCTCTTGCATAAGGGGGGGGGGGGAAGGTTTACAGCGCGGTTGTAGGTCACGGGGGAGAACTCTAGTCACTTCCTGGCCAGGACGGGCGCTGGAGAACTCAAATGCGCAGGTAGCGAAGCGATACTTGGTGTTTGATGTGCGGGAGCTCGTTCAGGGCATGCTCAGAAAATGCCAGGGTTCATGGCGCTGGCGATGAGAATCTGCTTCTCGCATCTTGGGGACGATGCAAGCGTCTGAGGGTGGAGAAGTCGGCTGAAGGCAACTTGGTTTGGGCCTTGTGGCCTTAGCCGTTGCTCTCTCCGTAACAGCGTGGTGCTCTCCAAGCTGTATGAACATGCTCTGTAGATGAAGAGTACCGCTGGCGTGAAAAACCCTAGACCCGAAACCCTAAACCCTGGTCGGGGCTAAACCCGAAACTCCTATCCCTGATCCCATCGAACCCCCTTTGCATCCAGGCCTATGAGGCTCGAAGCCATAAGCCCATAGACCCTACATACTCAACCCCTCAATCCCTACACCCTAAACACCCCAAAAAACCCTAAAGTTCCAAAAAGCCCTCCAACCCTCAACTCTCAATCCCTAAGCCGGAAACCCCGACAGCCCAAAACCCAAACCTAGAACCCACACCCTTACACCCGAAACCCGAAACCCTAAACCCTAAACCCTAAACCCGAAACCCGAAACCCGGTTCCGCACCTTGGGGCGGTTTTCGAATCGTGGACCCACCGACTGAGGGGGCCGATGAACTCGGCCGCCTCGATGGTACCGCTGTTGTCCACGTCGATCATGCAAAACCTGCAGTTGTAGGGTTTATGGGGTTTAGGTTTAATTAGGGTTTAGGTTTAGGGTTTAGGGCTTAGGGTTTTGGGGTAACAACCTTCTTGGGGCAGTTACGTGGTCTCTTAGAGTATGGGCCCTGCAAAAAGGGCACACCCCTTCTATACCCCGTAACACCCCGAGGCCCATACGTCAGAACCCTTAACTGCCCTTGCAAGCCTACGGTGTCCTAAGCCCCATAAGAACTAAACCCTAAACCCTCAACCCTAAACCCTAAACCCTAAACCCTGAACCCTAAACCCTAAATGCGCCTTAGGGGCGCCTCACTCTCGCACAACGTTAGGCAAGGCGGCAAAGGATAGAAATGCTCAAAGCGTTACAAGGACTGTCACGATGAGACTACTGCGACATCTCTTTTCTAGATATCCTGCAGCTTGTAGCCTAGGGGTTTAAGTGCACAGGGCAAACACCTGCCTAAGTCAATAGACCTGACATTGGAGTGGATATGGCTTCTCCAGAAACAGACTGAGCTATGCCAATCTTTGGGTTCAAACGGTTTACAAAGCCTTCGACCCGCACCTAAGGAACCTGATGCTTAATATCTCGTTTAGGGTTTAGGGTTTAGGGTTTAGGGGGTGGCCTGTATGCCGTATGATTCGCCTGGCGTCCGAAAGTAAACCCTAAACCCTAAACCCTAAACCCTAAACCCTATATATATATATATATATGCTGGACACCCCGCACAGCCACCGCTCCCCGGGCAGGGCCGAGGGCGGCCGACGCGCACCGTTCAGAACTAAGTTACCATGAAAGGGTTTAGGGTTATGGGCTTAGGGTTTAGGGCTTAGGGTCGAACATATCGATGGCAACATTTTGATTTATGGTAACTTAACTCAAGATCCTTACAACAAGAGCCCAAGCCCATTGAATGTTTTCTCTTCCTCCTGCAAGGTATATCTGTAAGAAGTCATAAGGAAGCACCCCCAAAACCGTACTGAATAGGGCTTTTGGGTACCGAATTCCATATAAAAGTACTATAAACCCTAAACACTGGAAATTCTGGGTAAGGTATCAAAAGGTCCACCCCAAACCCTAAACCCTAAACCCTAAACCCACGGGAGCCGAGGAGCAACTGCTGGAGATCATTCTCGTCGATGTCCATCACCTTGGCTCAGCAGCTGCGGGGCGCCACGGCGTGCAGAGTTCCAACACGTCTGCGCACTGCTACACCCTAAACCCTAAACCCTGAACCCTAAACCCCAAACCTTAGCCAGGTCGCACGCAGCCTGCTCTGCAAGATTGGGTCACGACGTGCCCCAAGGATAAGTTCCTCCAGGGAAAGCTGGCTCTACTACCCCTAAGCCCTAAACCCTAAACCCTAAACCGCAGCCCCAAGGATAAGTTCCTCCAGGGAAAGCTGGCCACTGCCATCGCGGTCCTGGTCCGACTACTAGGACTGCTAGGTGGGTGTATAGCAGCTTACATGCTACATGTCTACTATATATACAATGTATATTACATATGTATATAGAATATGATACTACCTAAAACAGGAATACATAACTAAATGAATATGTAGATATATATATATGTACATACTAATAAGATCCCGGAGGGGGGTGTAGCATATGTACATAACATGCTACTCCTCCCCTTCTCCCCCCTTCCCCCGCGACCATCCTCCAGCGTGGTCCAAGATCCAAGGTTTTTGGATCAAGAACCCAACATGCAAGATCCACTTCCCACCTTTTGCCGGATTCTGTGCTTTTTCCGCTCTTTGGCATGGGCCCCTGCGTGCCACTTTCCGAAGTTTTTCGGGCTCGTACCCTTTCCACTTGTTTTCAATTTCGGACTAGCACCCATTCCAGCTCCCATTTCTATTAAGGACTAGTAACTTTCTGCTGTCAACTTCTTTGGGACGAGTACCCCCTCCCCCCCCCCCACTTTTTTTGTGCCCTACGCACCCCACCCAAACAAAAGAAGCAAAGTGAAAGTGGATGCACCAAAGAACGGGCTGGCACGACTTCCAGCCGAGTCTCTATCCGCGTGAAGAGCTGTGTTAGCTCCTTCTTGTTCTTCTCGAGGTCACTCTCCATTTCTTCAGCCAAGTTCTGAACGTCATTCTGCCGAGCCTCTGCAAACGTATCCACCACGACCGCAATGATGATGTTCAGAACACCAAACACCAACGTCAACAAAGACCCCACGAAGAGAACAGCTGTCCAGGGGTTTTGCTGGATTACAGGTACTGCTACACGACCCCAGCCGTCTCCGGCAATGACGGTCTTGAAGAGGAGGAGGTTTGCCGACATCACAGACCGAGTCGAGACGTCACAGTAGTCACAATCCGCAAAAGCATCCGGCATGGCTTGCACAATGGGATACACCACCTCGGCCAACAGCATGGCCCAAAGCGTCATGATGCCGAAGCAGAGCAGGAAGGACCACGCCAGGGTGCGAAGGCACGTTGCCATCATGGTGACTAGCCTAGGATGGCCCGTAAAACCCATTGAACAATATTCCTGAATAGGATCTTCTTAAACCCAATAAGGGGAAATATAAAAATATCCCAAGACCCTACCTAGCAACTTCTGAAGTTCCCGGATTGCGCGGAGCTTCCTGAAGAAGCGCAGCAGGCGGAGTATTCGTACGAGCCGAAGTGCACGCATGACCTGGAGCCTTGCCATCAGCTCCGTCGGATAGATGGCGTTCAGGATCATCTCCACATAGCCGCAGATTACCTAGACCCAGGAGGTATCTAGGAATAAAACAGGGTACCCTGCTTGGTTGAAAGGGGATTATAAGGGAACCCCAACCCTAAAAAAAAAAATGAAATAGGGGGCCCTACTCCGAGTCCTCGTTACAACAGCCATGTCGAGCCAGGCCATCCAGTCACCGAGCATCGAGGCAGCCCCACGGCCCAGGAACCTGAGCAGTAACTCCAGCGTGTACATGGCGAGACTGAGATCCAGGAACGTCAACACACCTCGGGTGACATCCACAAACCCAACTGGGTTGGGACATGAAAGGACATGTTCCTGATCCGGGTTTGACTTGGACACGCTAGAAAGACTCTAGAGCCGAAAGCGCATGACATCAAGACATGGCAACAAGGATCCGATGGAGGGCGCTTCGCCAGCAGCACGAGCATCAATATCTATCCACGTGCAAGCAGCGTCTGCGACGATGATGCAGATCATGAAATGACTGAACCGCTTGCTGTTGGCAAGCCATGCGGACCACTTCTGGAAGTTCGCGGTGGTGGTCTTCGTGGAAACGGTAACTTCAGACGACATCTTTTCTGCCTTGATGAACCTTGGTAGCCAGGAAACCATATTACAACAAGGGCACCCCTTTTTTTGAGGTTGCTTACCTTTTTTCTATAAGGGAACCTTGAACCCAAAAAAGCGCCAAAAAGGCACCACTGGGCTGCCAAGCGAACTCTACTGACCTTGTAACCCTGGCAAAAAAATATAGTCTTAGCTGCTTATCCGGAATTATAGTACCCAAAAGAACTTCCCAAGTATCCCTAAGGGAACCTTGAACCCCCCTCCAAAAAAACAAAAAAAAAAAAAAGTACCACTGGGCTGCAAAGGGGGAACTCTCCCACGACCGAGCTCCGCCTCGCCCGGGAGCCGGCCGAGTGCTTGGAGTCCGTTTTGGTGTGCTCCGAGTCGGCATGGCTTGCGTTGCTCTGCCTCTTGGGTTTTGGGGGTTTGGGGTTTTGGGGGTTTATAGGGTTTAGGGTTTAGGGTTTAGGGTTGAGGGCTTGTGTTGGGGTTTTGGGCTTGTGTTGGGGCTTTTTTTGGGTTTTGGGGCCGGGCCTCCTCGAGCTCTCACTCCCTTCTTCATCGGACCGGAGGGTCCCAAGCTGACGATCATCAGCCTCTGCAGCCATGGCCATGCGGCGCGAAACGGAGAGGGCCTTCCACTAGAGCCCGAGACACTCGAGATCCTCCCCCTTCCGCGGAAAAAAAATCACTCCCGTTGACAGGCAAGAGGTGACTCAAGGCCCCTGTCAGGGTTTCAATTGCAGCACGGAGAAGACGGATAGTTAAGGGGACCCCAGTGACAAGGCACATACTTTCTCCCCCCCCCTGCCGAGCTGCTACAGGGGACGTGGGGACATGGGGACATGTATGGGGGATGAGATGAGCCCCAACACCTTGAACGCCTGAACCAAGATGATGAGATGATACCCTAAACCCTGAACCCCAAAACCCTAAACCCTAAACCCTAAACCCCAAGACCCTGAAGATGCTCATGTAGCTTGGTGATGCTTGACATGGTTTTCCGACCCCTGAAGCTTGATTCTTGTCCTTAGAGACCGGCTTCAGCCGTTTTATTCGCGGACCCTAAACCCTAAACCCTAAACCATTTTGTACGGAGGATGCTTGTGTTTTCTGGAAGTTGCCTCCTGCTGCCAGGCAACGCGAACATCGTCACAAGAACGTCCGACCCTCTGCACCCCTTATCGCCCTACAGTACAACCCTAAACCCTAAGCCCTAAACCCTCTGAGGCCAAGCCAATTTTGGGGGCTTTCCGAAAATTGGGATACCCTTCTTGGCGCACCCTTTAAGGGGATTCTGTTCTATCTGGGTATAAGGGGAACTGCCCATCTGCTGACTATTCACTTTGAGTCGAGCATCAGCTTTCAGCAAAGTTATCATGTACCCGTGCACTCGCTGCACGATGGTGGCGTCTGTGAAGCGCAGCACGTCCAAACGAGCTGCGGGCGACAAGGCTGACCTCAGCTACCCTCTTAGGGTTTTGGGTTTAGGGTTTAGGGTTTAGGGCTTACGGGCTAGGGTTTAGGGCTTAGGGTCCCTGAAGATGAAGAGAGATAGAGAGAGGGCTTCTCGCCGCTGTAAGACACGGTTCTACTTCACATAGGTTCGTACGCTGTGCACTGCTTGGAGGTATTATTATCCAATTATTACTGTACTTATAACCCACTTATAAGCCCCTTAGGTGGCCTAAGTACAGTTATAAGTACAGCTCTAATTGGTTGATAAGTGCCATGAACCTCCAAGTGGTACATGCCCATGCGCACCAGAGAGTGCTGCAAGATGAGTGTAGTAGCACCAGCCTCATATCTACGCCTGTTTGGCCACAGAGATACACATACTGCGGGCTCTAGCAAATGTTGTGTTCACGGGGTTGTGCAAGGCTATTGTGGCTGTATGACAAACCTATGAAAAAGCGGGAGGCTGGCATACACCCTAAACTCTTCACACTGAAGCCCTAAACCCGAAACCCTGTAGCTCCAACCCTGAGCCCGAAACCCTGAGCCACCGTAACCCGGCGCCCTCTAGCTGAGACCCTTAAGACCCAGGCTTTAGACTTTAGACCTTCCAACCCTTTTTTGAGCAGGGGCTCCCTCACTCATCGGGTAAGGAACAACAAAACCAGGGAAGGGAGGGACGCACAGAGAGCGCGAGAGACAGAGGAGAGAGAGAGAGAGAGAGAGCAGAGGGAGAGAGAGGGAGAGGGAGAGAGAGGGAGAGGAAGAGAGAGGGAGAGGGAGAGAGAGAGAGAAGGGAGAAACAAGAAAAAACAAAACACAGAACGACAAAGAAGCAAATATCACAAGACGAACCAGCGAGGTAGAGGTATAGATAAGCCAGCAGGCACCCTAAACCTTAAACCCTAAACCCTAAACCCGTAACCGCGGACCCAGCGGGTAAGACACGTTGCATGGCCTGCTCGACAATAAGAAGCCGCGACTGGCGCGGTGTCCAGATGGCCCTTACATCCTAAAGCCTAAACCCCAAGCCCTAAACGTCCCGAAACCCTAAACCCTAAACCCTAAACCCCTTTGTACTAAACCCTAAACCCATTTCCCAAAACTCGAAACCCGAAACCCCAAGCCTGAAACATCCCTAAACCCTAAACCCTAAACCCTAAACCGTGATGCGGCTCGAACACCAGAAACGTCGAACTGCAGCCGGATCGACCTGCCGGAGCGGCCAATGCAGAGTCCAACAAAATAACATCGAGATCTAGTGCGAGTTCTGTTGCAGGACTAAATGTTAGTATACTATGGTTATTATTATTATTACTACTGCTTCTGTTCTTCATCTAGCTATTATTGGTATTGTACAATAATGATAACAATATAGCAATCATACTAACATACGAACATCAGAATATACTCGGCCCTGTCTCTGTATCTGAGCAACCGAGCGCCTGATGCTATAGTGAAATGAAATGTGCTAATCGAATTCTTCTACAATAAAGATAATAAGTAAATATTCATAATGTATAAAAACACGATAACATATAAACATATATATATATATATCCATATAAATATAAACAGAAGGATCTGTGTGTTTAAAGTCGAGCCTGGGCTCTGGCTGACAAGTTCTTTAGCCGAAGCAGTTCTTGCGCGTACTGTGCGATTTGAGGCCAAGAACTGGCCACCTCCAAGCAAAGCTTGGTGAATGCCTCCTCCTAGTTGCTAAGTACCCTGCCCCCCCCCAAAAAAAAAAAAATATATATATAAAAACAAGAGTTAACCTTTCAATTGTGGTAGGACTGTAAGTACCAGTACGAGAAGGTTACTGGTTCTGTGCTCAGCTAAGTTCTTAAAGTGGGGCTTTGGCTAAGCCGCTTTGATTGCAACGTATGGGCCAGGATATGACCGGACGCAATGAGATATTGTACGCTTCTTGCCTAAACCCGAAACCGCCCAGAAGTGAGAAGGCTGAAGGAGCGGCAAACAGCTGTCTCGGTCAAGCAAGATGGTGAAGGGCTCAGGGAAGAACAGCCCCAAATTTCAGTGACAACTTCAGGAAGGGAGTTTAGAGGTGGGATACCTTGCCGAAGGTTTTCTTTTGGGTTTAGGGCCATTAGTGTTTAGGGTGTTGGGGCTTCGGTAAGAATTATGGGCACTAGGGGGAGGGCTGATATGGGGGAAACTGCCCAGCTGCAATGCCCTAAAGCCCTGAACCCTAAACCCGACGAGTTGCGAAGTCCTGCTGACTAGTGGGGGGGGGGGTTGAGCTATGTGCTTAAGGGTTTAGGGCTTAGGGTTTAATGATTTAGGGGTTCAGGGATTTAGGGTTTAGGGATATAGGCTTAGAGTTTAGGGATTCAGGGCTTAGGGTACGAGGGCATCAGACCGGAAACTCTCTAGGCGAAAAGCCCTCAAACCAGACGAACCCGACCCCTTAAACTTAGATCCCAACCGTTGGCAGCTTGTCGCACACATCTCATGCAGTGAATTTGAGCCAACGCTTCTGCGTCGAACCCCCACCTCTGAAGATCAGCAAAACTTGGGGTTGGCTTTCTTTCGCGGGTTTAGGGTTTAGGGTTTAGGGTTTAGGGTTTAGGGACGGTTTTGGGGTTTCAGCCGCCCAAAACGGGTCGTTGTCCGCTGCGAGTGCGCACTGAGGTAAGCAGCGTACACTATCCCCTCTCTGGCCCGAATCCCAGAAATCGACTCACATGTGATTCAGTTTACCCAAGCCCAAAAGCCTACAAACTTAAAACAAAAAAACCTAAAATCAACAACCCTCAACCCAACAAAACAAAACCCTAACCCCTTAACCCCTAACCCCTTAACCCCTTAACCCCTTAACCCCTTAACCCTTCAACCCTTTAACGCTTTAACCCTTGACCCTAAAACCCTAAAACCCTTAAAGCCCAAGACCCCTAAAAAAAAAAAAAACTAAAACCCTAAAATCCTAAAATCCTAAAACCCTACAACCCATGAACCCCTAAATCCCCTAAAACCCCTAAAACCCTAAAGCCCTAAAACCCTAAAACCCTGAAACCCCTAAACCCTAAAACCCTAAAACCCTAACACCCCTAAAACTCTAAACCCCTAAAACCCTGAAACCCTAAAACTCTAAAACCCTAAAACCCTAAAACCCTAAACCCCTAAACCCCTAAAACCCTAAAACCCTAAACCCTAAACCCTAAACCCTAAGCCTCAGTTGAAGGGATGGCCCGACGCGTTGCGATCCTGGGCATAAAGTGCACAGCTGGTACAGGAATGCGAAGTTGTGCTTCCCTTGTAGATGGCGGGTCAGGGGAGGGTTTAGGGTTTAGGGTTTAGGGTTTAGGGTTTAGGGTTTAGGGTTTAGGGTTTAGGGTTTAGGGTTAGGGTTAAAATTTTTGGAGTTTAGGGACTCATTCTTGCCACCCGCCTAGCTGGTTTGGGGTGCATAGGGGGTTGATGGCTTCCCTTCTAGATGTTCTGGTTTTTACTTGCCTCCCGGCTGGCTGAACACAAGCGCACTTCGCACGGCATGGGCGCTCTAAATCCTTTAAGGGCCCTATTCTAAGACGGCCCCTAATTTATTATCAGGGTACCCAAAAAGGCACCCCAATTAAGAACTGACCATATAGGGCTCAGGGATCGTACGGGGTCTTCATGGAGATCCTGGCCCTTTTAAACCGTAAACCCGAAACCCTAAACCCTCAACCCAAAAATTAATAGCCTATGTATGTATATATATATATAGTATATATATATATATATATTACTTATTTATTGCGTTGAATACGTGAATAAATATATACAAATACATAATCATCTAGTAATATCATCGTATACTCAGCTATCTGAGCCCTGGTACTCCCGGTACACGCGCCGGCGAAGGCTGTCCAGGGGCGCGCGGAGCGCATCCATGTTGCGGTTTGGCGCAGGGCCACAGGACAGCGGCTGTGTTGGCGACTTTTTTTCCAGAACCCATGGATACACTTGTGCCTTATAGCATCATTAGGGCCCATGTACCCATGTAGGATATCTACTACTGACCTGAAAGCACTTCCTGTATTGTAGCTTTGATAGACTATTTGGGTGCATGTGAGCCTTCGGCTACTGGGGTTGAGAGCAGGATGTCGGGGCGCCCATCTTCTCATGCCACCGGGAAGTTTGCCATCTGTCATCG